CACAAGAGGATTACCTTAGTTTGCAAGACGGGCAGAATTATTAGTGAAATGGGCAGATTGACATCAACAACGAAATCCACAAAAGAATACAGCGCGGGGCCGCCAACCTTTTTGCCTAGTAACTCACGGATTATTTTGGCGACTCGCGGCCACAACATCACCATTTGCTTCTCGAACGCAATCATCATCACCTTTAGAGCTGTAATTTTAACAAAAACATGCAACTCCCTGCAAACATGTTACAATTCTCCGTAGTCAATTACATCTTGATCTATAATTCCTAAAATCAGCTCTAAAGATTTTGAAAATATGTCAGCTGCAGATGTATAATAAATAGCGATGCGCACCAGGGCAGTCGGTGCGGTCATGCATTTTGTGCAATTCCGTCTGATGCCTGCTAATGACTTTCAGTGCTTTGCACTTTGTTCTGTAAAAAAGTAGTTGGATTGTTGTCTGGTTCCTAACTTGCGGAATTTCTCACTGAAAATTTCACGCATCGGTACGAAAGCTGAATTTGAAACCTCGAAGGGTGAATATCTTTCCAAAATTTCAAACTCCTCATTTTCTAGCTTTCGAGTTATTTTTTCGGCAAAACTCAATGTGGCCATACGTGAGAGCTCGGAATACTTAAAAACTGAATTCGAGCTTGTAAAGATTTGCCCCTGCTTAGACAGGAAATAGCCTCCTGAAAATTTCAGCCTCTTGGCTCTTCTTGTTCCGGAGACAATGATTTTTCCAGCCAAAACTTCGATAGGGAGTTGAAAATTTGCGGGGTCATACGCGGGCAGAAATAGCACGCGAAAATTCCGGCTTCTTAGCTTTCGTGTTCCCGAGATAATGATTCCCCTAGCAAAACTCTCACGGAACTACGTGGTACCCAGAGGTGCGTGAAGGCTGAATCCAAATTTGTAGGAGTCGTACATTGATAGGGGGCATCGCCTTAAAAATTCAGCTTTCTAGATTCCGTGGTCTCCGAGATAATAATTTACTCGCCAAAAGTTTCGCGAGGCCGCAGACACCCGAGAATGCGGGAACGTTGGTTTGAATATGAGAGGTCGTACGTGAGCAGAGAGTCTTTGCCCTAAAATTTCACTTCCTAAACTCGCTGGTTCCCGAAATAATAATCTACCTGCCAAAATTTTCACGGGCCGTATATTTTACCCGCAGGCACGGGAAGGCTGAATTTAAATTTTCTAGATCGCATATGGGGAAAAGAAATGCCAACAAAATTGCAGTTTCCCAGATTCCGTGATTCTCGAGATAATAATTTTCCCGCCAAAACTTTTATGGAGCCGCACGTGTTACCAGCGAAAAACAAAAGAAGGCTGAATTTAAATTCGCAGGGTCACGCCGGGGAGGGGAATGCAACAGCATATTTTCAGCTTCCTAACTTTCATGGTTCCTGAGCTGAAAGTTGTGGACAAGTTGCTGCAGACACACAGCTGCACAAAACCTATAACAACTGCTAATATTCACGTCAATCTTTCATCTGCAACAAGCTTCAGTACTAGGTTTTCATAGGAATTTGTTAGCTGCATAATTATGCAGGCTACAATGATAATATTACAACTATAATAACTGTAACGTCTGGTTTTTATAACTTCTGGGACGAGACGACTCTATAAAAGTAAAGAATCAGTCGAAAACGACGGGAGTTTGATTTAGTCAAGGCGTATCTAATAATTATAGCGGAAAATGAAATCACCCAAAAAAATAGCTTGACAAACGGTTTCTCTAACAATGCGGTAAGTTGAAACGGTCGCTGAGTGACCACGTTCCGTCACTGATACTGAACTTTGTCGTCCACTGACATCTAAAACAAGCGTTGATCAACTGAGAAAGAATCATTCAACATGCGGTTATGTTCAGCGCATGTTGTAAACAGGCGTTTATAAAACAGTTCACAAGGGATTCCTGACAGTTGTGAAACCTGTGTCAGCGGCAGGCCCATCTTCAGCAAAAGCAGTTTTTGGCTTTACGACTTATTAGATGGAACTTACTTTCCTAATAAATAAGGACAAAGGCCCAGATTTACAAAATTCAGAGCCTGACATTGTTTGTGGTACTCCTAGACTTATGGGAGAAAAACACGGAGTCTGAAAGTCCAACTGTAGGAGTCTAATTTATTAGTGTCCCGAGTGGCACATGGAACGTGGAGCTTGCTTACAGCAGCTAAGCCAAAAGACAATAACCTCATCGTTGTCCGTTTTAATGCAAGAAACGTTTTGCCTTCTATTACTGGACACACAAACACACACACACACAAACTTACATACATACATGCGCACACACACATTTGCACGCATACCGATCTTGCATTAAACAGATAACGGCAGATAAAAACATCACTGCTATTAAAATTTGACAAAAGTTGGGTGCAGACCGTGAGCATTGGTCCCCCGTATGAGAGATGTGGCGAGATTCGTACTGGTCACTGGTGCTAGACTTTGCTTTGCCAACGGAGGGTTCACAGCATTCTGCATCAAATTGAGACAAAATATGAGATCCTTTAATTGAAATTGAGGAGTATCTGCAAGCAGTACTTTTAAATTATTTCCAGTGCATCCAATTTAAAGCGAGCCAGCTCTAATCGCTCGTAAATTTTTTCGAATCTTTTGGGTTTTTTTGAATAAGGAAGACAGTTTCGAAAGAATAAGCAAAGTTACCTTTCTTCGACGCTGCGGCACGGAGGAAAAGAGGAATTAAAATATGGCACAGAACGGCCTCTAGCCTTTCGGCCGTTGCGCCGATACCTTCACCGCTGCACAAATATTCCAGAGAAAATGCTACCTGAAAGAAGCACTATGAATTTCATCTCTAATCAAAATAATCGGAACAACTGTCTGCAAATTTTAAGGAAGTTGATATTGTCGAAGAAAAACGACAGCAGACCTGTCCGAGAGCTTGCATCAGGAACGACGCAAGCTTGAGGACAGAATTGCAAAACGCTTGTGGTGGGCAGCTGCCATGCAGCACAGTGGACATTGCAATACAGGATTGCGTGGATAGGTCGTCGTTGCAGGGATCGCCGACCATTATTCGCAGGCACATTTGCGTCATTGTCTGCAAAAAAAGAGATGGTACTTCACTTTCGATCACTTTTGTTACGTTTTTGCAAGATATACAAAACCCA